AATCCCAGTGCCCCTTGGGGAGCTGCCGCTGAGCTGAAGCGGGTGCGGTGGGGCTGACTCATCCTGGACAGACCACCGAGGGCCAGACCCACCAGAGGCCTCGCTGCGTCTCTACCACCCAGGTGTCGTCCGCCCCCTTCCTGCAGGAGACTGCGTCCCAGGGATGGCGGGGCCCTGCCTGAGCCCACACACCTGGCAGAGGTGCGGCCGCCCAGGACTGCGTCTTCGGGTCTCGTGGTTCTCTTCCCACTTCTGTGCGAGACTCCCAGGTCGGCAGGGCAGGCGCGTCCCCAGCTGGGAAGCTGGGCCACTGGGCCACTGGGCTCTGAGGACGGTAGCTACCCCAGACCTCTGTCCGTGGCAGAGGGTGTGGCTGATGGGAGCTGAAAGCAGAAAAGAACTGAGTGTGTCTGCCGCTCTCTGGGACCCAGTTCCCTCCAAGGTCAAACAAGGTGGTTGGACTGGGTGCTTTTCCAGCTCCCCACTACGTCCACCCATCGCCCCCTGAGCACCTGGCATCGTGTTGGAAGGCGTCTGTCCAGCCAGGTAGTTACAGGTTCACAAGTGAGTAATTAAATAGTCACCTCAACCCTGCATGGGGTCTTAGGGAAGACCTCCCAGAGGAGGCGACGCCCGCGCTGAGTCTCGGTCCGCCTTCTGGCGAAGGGAGGCACTCCAGGCAACAGGGGCAGCGTCGACAGGGGCCGGAGGTGTGGAGGGGCCCGGGGGCGGGCGCCGTATGCCGGTGACGGTGTGGACCCTCCGGCACAAGGCTGAGAGGGGCCTGTGCCAGCCCTGGGGTCCTGGGGGGCCTTGAGGAGTTTGGGGGTGGGGGGGCTACTGTGGATTTTTTTAAGTAGCAGTTTTACTGTGATATAACTCACATACCATACAACTCCCCTATTTAAATTGTACAGTTTGGGGGTTTTTGGCGTATTCCTAATTGTGCAGCCATCGCCCCGGTCAACCTGAGAACACTCTGGGCACCTCGAGAGGAAGCCCCGCCTCACCCACTGCCCGTCCTCTGCTCTCCGATGCCCCTGGCAGCCGCCGATCTGCTCCCTCTCCCTGTGGGTGTGCCTGTTCTGGGCGTGTCCGTGCAAGTCCACGTGTGGCCTTTTGCGACTGGCTGCTTTCACAAAGCACACTGTTTTCCAGTTTGTCCAGCTGTTGCAGGGACCAGCCCCCTGTTCCTTTTTACGGCCAAATAATATTCCACTGTAAGCCACTGTGGATTTTTAACGTGACACAGAAAGGTTGGCACGTTGGAAAGCTGGCTGGGGACGGCGAGGGGTGGGGGGGGGGGGAGGCCAGATGGCCAGGAGAAGCTGAGGCGTGGGTGGGAGGGTGGGAGGGCAGCAGAGAAGAGCCAGGGTGGGGCACTGCTGGGGAGGAGGACGCAGTAATTGATTAGCTGCAGGAGGGAGGGGGAGGGACGACAGGGGACAGGGTTTCATGAAGCCCAGTGCCAGTAGACACGGAAACCGCAGAAAGCCCAGGGGAGGGCCAAGGGGCTGCAGGGCGGCACACGCAAGGAGGGAAGGCTGCTGGAGGAGGCAGCCCAGGGAGTCTCAGAGGGGGGCCGGGACACCGTGATGGAGAAGGACAGCCGGGAAAGCGGTCCAGATGGAGGGGCTGGCACGGTGCGGAGGGGGGAGTGGGCAGCCACCCACCAGCCGGGCCCGGGCATCGCCAGCAGATGGAAGAGGCATGCTGAGCTGGGCGGGCTCTCACCTGAGGGGGAGCCAGGAGGATCTTGGCCTTGGAGCCAAAACCCTTTGGCACCTATCATGCTGGTCCTAGACCCTCACCGGAGCCCTGGGCCCCATTCTACAGCAGAGAAAACTGAGGCTCAGGGAGGCCAATGGCTCAACTGGAGCTGGGGCCGCCCCTTTACCCAGCCTGCAGGGAAAGGCTGGTGCCTAGGAGGAGGGCGAGAGGCTCGGGGGCCCCAGAGCCAGCGCAGCAGAGTGGAGCGAGCCCTGGACAGGCGCCCGTAGCAGAAGCTGCCACCCCCGGGGCAGCACTCACGGGCCGTTGACACAATGAAAATAAAGGTGGTGTCGGCGGAGGTTAGGGAAGGGGCCCCTGAGTCGGACCACCTGGGATCAAATCCCGCTGGCTCTGCCCCTGCCAAGCCCACACCCTTGTAAAAAGTCTCCTCACCTCGGTGCTTTCGCCCCCCCCCCACCTGAAAACAGGGGTGATAACATCACCCATCACGGGCCTGGGGCGGCCCGGGTGAGTTATGATGAGTTAAGTCCTCGGGGCAGCCCCGGCATTTCCTCAGTGCTCGGTAAATGTCGGCGGCTCCTCTGCGAGCTCCACAGTGCCGTCTCCCCGTCCGTGCGTGGACCCCCCCCCCACCCCCGGCAGCTCCCCGCAGGCGCCCCTCGCCGTCCTTGCCGGTGTCCTCGCTCTGGCCTGCTCAGCGTGGCATCGGTGGGTGGCTGTCGATTGGGACGGTGTCCACTTTCCAGAAGCTTCCTCCGAAGGCCCACCACGTGGGTTGCCCCGGGGGCAGGGGTGCGGATTTCTAGCGACAGGCCCTGCGGCTGTACCTACAACCCCTGGCCCCGCCCAACCGCAGGCCAGGGCTGCTCATCGGTTGCGATTCTCGCGGCCACTTGAAGGGGCAGATGCTGTGTCACCAGTGAGGAGGCTGCAGGACACCCAGCGGTGGATTTGGTGGTTGAACCCGATAGTTGAATAATGCCAGGAATTGTTCTAGGCATTTTTCCCTAAATTAGCCAAATGTCATCCTCGCCGTGGCTCAGGAGGTAGAGATTATTGTCCCCGTTTCATAGGTGAGGGAACAGCGTACGTGGCTTCCCCAAGGCCGCCCTGCTGGCCCGGACGGCGCCGGCAGTTGCCATGCAGCCTGCGGGCTGACCACCCTTCCCTGCGTGGTCTCCGAAGCCTAAGCTCTTTCTGCTTCAGCAGGCGGCCTCCAGACGTGTTTATGCAGAGTGTCTGCGGAGGGCCGGGTCTGAGCCGGGCGCCAGGGAAGGAGCTGTGGGTCCTGTCCTTGGGGAGTCCTTGGGGAGCCGAGAGGATGGCCGGAGACCACCTGATGAGTAACTGTGGGAGGGAGGCGGGGGAAGCCCTCTGACCTCAGGACCCATTGGCACCACCGAGGAGAACAGGGTCTCTGAGGCGGGAGCTGGTTGAGGGGCTGGGGAGAGGAGATTTGCCAAGACTGGGGCTGGAAAACCGATTTGGGAAATTTAGACGAGCCATTGGTACGGGAGGAAGGTGACGCCCCGAGAGGTGGAGCGGCTGACCGAAGGCCACACGGTGCCCTAGCAGGAGTGCGATCCAGGCGAGAGCCCCTGGCCCAGGGGCAGCTGAGCCGCCCTCCATCCCAAAGAGGAACTTGCCCCTGGCAAAGCTCTTCCCTGGTCCGCCTTCTCACGTGCGCCTGGCATGGTCTCCCCCCAGGCACTGCAGCAGAGCTGGGACTGGGAACGCCGGTGAGCGGAAGAAGAAACAGGCCAGGAAAGGGGCAGGGCTTAGAGCCCAGGCCTCCTGATTCCCAGCCCGGGACCAGGGGGAAGCGTAGGGTGGGTTGGCACACAGGCCCACACACAGGAGTGGTCCCCTCTTGGAGAGCCTAAGCCCTGAGCTGCGGGGCCTGGACCCAAGTCCTGAGCATCCCCCAGAGGAGAGAAGGGCAAAGATCCTGCGGGATCCCGGAGGGCTGAATGCCCACCGAGTACAAACACTGCCCTCGTCTGGCTGTCCCTAGTACTGCACACCCCTTTATTTTAATAAATTGATCGAACACCTACTATTGTAACAGCTACTATTCACTGGGCACCCATATTGTGCAAAGCCCCATGTCATGTGCTTTACACACGTATGCCACATGCTCACCAGGGCCTGTGGAAATGGGCTTTGGAATCATCATTTTACAAACAAGGAAACGGTCTCAGTGTGGTTAAGCCACTTGTCCAGGGCCACACAACTAGCCCAGAGCCAAGCTAGGGCTCCAACCCGGGTCTGTCTGCTTGCAAAGGCAGAGTTCTCGCCTGCTCTACCACATCACCTCCCTGCACGCCCTGCCCTGGGCTAGGACTTCCCTACTGTAATGTCATCATGTCAATCATCTGGAACCCAGCACTCTCGTTCCAGAATCAGGGCCCAGCCAGCCATTGGTGAGCAAGCCTGGGCCACGGGCACTGCCTCCTCAGCGCCTTCAGGCTGAGTCGGGATTGGTCCTGGGAGCTGCGGCACAGCCAGCCCGAAGCAGGTCAGGAAGGCTCGCCCGGGCCCCGGCCAGATGCACGGACCACTGTAGAGACAAGAAAGCAGGCAGCCTGGGACGTCCTGGGCGCAGCCAGGACTGCCACACTGGGGAGCGGAGGCTCCCTAACAACCTCAGGAGGAAGTGTTTCTCAGCAGGGACACTGCAGGGCCCCTCCATGACACGGCGTGGCCTTCCCCGGGGCTCCAGGGCCCCCGTGAGGCTGCATGGTCCTCTCTGTGGCTCCCAGGTTGCTCAGTGACTTCCTCTGTCTTCTCTCCTAGCTTGCCCGTCTGGAACCTTCAAGGCTAACCAAGGGGATGAGGCCTGCACCCACTGCCCCATCAACAGCCGGACCACTTCAGAAGGGGCCACCAACTGTGTCTGCCGCAATGGCTACTACCGAGCAGACCTGGACCCGCTGGACATGCCCTGCACAAGTACGTCCGGGGCCCCTGAGGGCAACGTCTGGGTCCACAGTCACCTGTAGAAACGCCCAGAGTGAGGGCTGGGCTGCTGTCCAGCTATAGCCAGTCCTTCCTGAGAGAGGAGCGGCCAGTACCTGGGGGAGGGGAGTGGAGCACTGGTGGCCAAAGGACCATCCTGGGGTGTCTCCGGGGTGGTTATGCAGCCAGCGCACAGGTACCACGGAGCAGGCATCTGGCTCCTTACCTCCTTCTGCTAAGTCACGTGGATGGAGGATGAGGTCAAGGCCTGGATGCACAGAGGGATGGAGAATGGCAGGGTTGGCAGGGGAAGAACCAGAGCAGGGGGTGTCTGTGGTGGAAGAGGCTGCCCAGTGTCCTGACCGGGCAGCGGCTGCCTGAGTCCCAGGCCGAGGTTCTCTAAGACAGGGTGACTGCGAGGACAGGGTGACTACGAGGGCAGGGTCACAACCGCTGTGTCACACAGGAGGGGCATTCAGCTGCACGTAGCAGAGAGCTGACCCCAGTGGCATGCACCACAGGGACTTATGCTCTCATGGACTAGAAGCCCACAGATGGGCAGTCCTGGGGAAGTGTGGTGAATCCATGGAGTTCTCTGGGGCCCGGCTGCTTCCCTCTGCTCTGCCATCGTGGTGTGTGGTTTCCATCTGTCAGGTCACTTCATAGCCCAACGTCGCTGCTGAAGCTCCAGCCATCACGCATGTTCTAGGCAGCAGAAAGGAGAGGGATAAAGGGATGTCCTACAGCTGTCTCCTTTTAAGAAAAAATCCTTCCACTAGGGAAATAGCTGTTGGGTGGGTATGACCCCCAACACAAAGAGACGGTCCATAGTTCCAAACACCAAGAAGGCTGGCATCCAGGGAGAAAGGTTTAAGCAGATGTGCAGCAGGATGAGCATTATCTTCTAGAAACATCTCTCTGGTGGGTGGAGGGGAGGCAGTATGTGCGGGAAGCTCTTTGGGAGGCGTGGGCTGGAACCAGGGCGGAAACAGCTCCACGGCCCCCACTGATCGACACCCCGCCCCCGCCAGCCATCCCCTCGGCACCCCAGGCCGTGATCTCCAGCGTCAACGAGACCTCGCTCATGCTGGAGTGGACCCCGCCCCGCGACTCGGGGGGCCGCGAGGATCTCGTCTACAACATCATCTGCAAGAGCTGCGGCTCCGGCCGGGGCGCCTGCACCCGCTGCGGGGACAACGTGCAGTACGCGCCCCGCCAGCTGGGCCTGACGGAGCCCCGCGTCTACATCAGCGACCTGCTGGCCCACACCCAGTACACCTTCGAGATCCAGGCCGTGAACGGCGTCACCGACCAGAGCCCCTTCTCGCCGCAGTTCGCCTCCGTGAACATCACCACCAACCAGGCAGGTGAGCGCTTCCCAGGCAGGCTCCAGGGGCAGCGCCGCGCCGTGCCAAATGGGTCTCCTGCCAGCCCTCGTTAAAGACGCCCTCACATCTGCGGTTTCCTCTCTTCGAAGGCTGTGTGTGTGTGTGATCCAGCCACCTGGGAGCGTGCTCCATTGTGGTGGTGTTTACGGTCATTGCCGCCCCTTGTTGAGCGGGTGTTATCGAAGGGGACAGTGCAGCTGCTGTAACAAAAGGGCCCGGTACTGGGGGGCCTCGAGAACACAGAAGTGCCTGGCCCCCTCGTGCAGGAGTCCAGGGGTGCACTGTCCGGGCCAGCAGGGTGGCTCTGACCCACCCTCCAGGAGGGCTCCTTCCGCCGTGCTGTCTCGGCGCCCTCCGTGGTCAAAGCCGGTGGCGGGCGTGTCTGTGCCCTGGCCCGCAGGAAGGGCGGGAGAGAGAGGACCCCGGGCAGTGACAAGGCTTTAAGCCGGGAAGGCCAAGGTGGCGCCCATCACTTCTGAGCACCTTCCACTGGAAGGAACTTGGTGCTGTGGCATCACCGAACCGCAGAGGAGGCAGGGAAGCAAAATCTCTCCCGGCCTGGCTTAAATCCGTCTCCGTGGACGGTGGGCAGGCAGACTCCAGTGGACGTCTAGCGGTTCCCACAGGTGCTTTCTTGGAACGTTCAGCCCGCTCCAGCCTAACTGCACCAGAACTCCCCCCACCCCAACGCTCACCTTCAGTCGCCCTTCCCGTGATCCCGCGCCACCCTCCACGGTCCCCCAGCCTGCCTTCACAGCAGCAAAAGCTGCCATGCCAGGAGTCTCACCTCCTCCCCCGAGTCCCTCTTTAGTCCATTCCACTTAGGTGTCCGGCCCCTTCTCTCCTCCAAGACCACTGTCCTCAGGGGCACCTGAGACCTCCATGTGGCCAGGTCCAGGAGACGACTGCAGCCTCGTCCCCCAACCAATGGCCACGTGAGGTTTTGAAGGACTGTGTGGTGCCTGTGGGTAGAAAACCTTCTGGTTGGCACTGTGAATACACCCCTCAGTTATTCCCGTGACAAGCCTTGCCCAGCCCCCGTGGCGGGTGTGACCTGGGCCCTGGCCCGGGGGGGGGGAGCCGAGGGAGGCCAGGCTCCAGGAAAGCGGGCGCTGAGCTATCCAGCCCACACAGGTCCAGGAAGGCCTGCTAGAGGAGGCACGTGCACAGGCCCAGCAGAAATCTGAAGGGAGTGATAGAAAGAAATGGAGTTCAGGAGGCGGGAAGGGCGTGCACAGAGCGCAGAAGGGGAGAGGGCATCCGGGGGACCTGGTTCAGGGGGGCTTTCCACGCTTGACCTCACTGCCTCCCCCTGGCCTCCTTGAGTAGGGAGCATCTGTGTCCCCATTTTACAGACGGTGCTCAGACAAGTGCAGTCACAAAGCAGGCAGGACGAGAGGCAGGGACTCACCAGGTCTAACAGACTCCAGTGCTCGGGCTAAACCCAGGGTGCGTCCAGGGAACCTCGGGTGTGGCTGTGGGTCTGACTGTGTGTGTGAGTGAGTGTGTTTGGGGAACGTGTGCGCCTGTCCTGTTGTTTGGGTGACTGTGTGTGTGTGACTGCACGTGACCTTGGCGTGTGGCTTCTTACCAACACGTGCGTCCGTGAGCACGCGCTCATGTGTCTGAATGTGGTCTGCCCGTCAGTGTGTTTGTGTCTGGGGAGGAGTGTGGTTCTGTGTGTGAGTGTCTGTGGCGTCGCTGTGGCCGAGGGGGCAAGCGTCTGAGCGTGCGCCTGCCATTCTTGAAGATGCCGAGGATGCACTCAAGTCCCCCTCGGCCTGGGGTGCGGATGGAGCCGCCTCAAGGTGGGCCACCCGAGGAGCCTCCAAAGACAGCAGCTGCTGGCAGAGGCACCGAACAGACCGAGACGTGGCAGCTGCGCGCCTCTCCAGCTTGACAAGGCCCCGAGGCAAGGGAGCCAGGCTCCCAGGGGGAGCGGAGGGGTGGGAACTCTTTTCAACGGGGAGAAGCTGGAGTTCCCCAGAGCCCTTGGATTTCTTTCCCTGGCTGGGGGTGGGAGGGCCCTCCCAGCATCCATGTGGGAGCCCTGGGGCGGGACTGCCTGCTCCAGAAGCCTCAGCGTAGTAGTAGCAGCAAGGATGGAGTCTGGGCTGTGGCGTGGAGCCCTCTTGTCTGGAGCTGGAGGCTCCCGGAGAATAGTGACAGCACCGAGTGGAAGGGAGGGGCTTTCAGAGGGGAGACACCAGGGGCGGAGGGGGGGAGCCCTCAGGATTGAGGGACAGAGGCTGTGAGAAGCAAGCCCTGGGCTAGGAACAGGACCTGAGTCTGAACTCCAGCTTTACCATTCATTTGCTGGCTGACCTTAGTGTATTAGTCAGTCCTTGCTGCCATAACGCTGCATAACAAAACCGCCCCCAAAACTCAGTGGTTTACAGCAGGAAACGTTAATTTTTTTTCACTCACTCATCTGCGAGTCAACTAGGGTTTAGCTCATCTGCACGGGCTGTGCTGGGCAGGACTCCAGGACGTGGACTGGATTCAGTCTGTTCCCTGTGTCTCCTCGCTCTCGTCGGACCAGCAGACACCCAGGCGTGCTGCTCTCATGGTGCATGGTGGGCACACACCCGGCCGGGCCGGGCCATGCCACTCAAACACCTGTCCCGCCCACAGTGAGTGGGCCCTGTGGAGTTCCTCAGCAGAGGGTGTGCGGGCGTAACCCTGGCACCAAGAGGAAGAATAGATAACCGATGAGACTTATCACACCCCTGGAAATCACCTCCTCCCCCGGGCCCCTCCTTCCCTACCGGACTGTGCATCAGAACTATGGGAGAGCTCGTCAGAATATAGGCTCTGGACTCTGCCCCAGACCTGCCGAATCAGAACCCCAGCAGTAAGCTGAGAATCTGCTTTTTATCAAGTGGCTCAAGGGGTTCTTACCCTCAGACACATTTGGGAAACCCAGGTCTAAGGGAGTCTAAGCCCCTGTGAGCCCCTCACGCCCCTGGACAAGCTACACTCCCATGGATGCCCAGGGCCCGGCTGGGGTCTGTGTAGCCACACCACGCCCTCGTCGCGCAGTCCCCCTTTGCCAGGTGGGGACATGGGAGCCCGGGGAAGTCGAGTCCTTTACGCTCAGTCCCACCACTGAGTGGCCTCAACAAGAATTTAAACCCAGCGTGATGGGACTCCAAGTCCACACTGGAGAGGACACAGTTCCTGTCCTTGCAGATTTGTGTCCTGGTTGGGAAGATGAGCCACGGATGGTCTGCATACAAGATGGCATGAGTGAGCGCCCAGGAAGGGGTCAGGGAGGTGCAGGAGGTCACAGGCAGCGGAAGTCCCTTCTTCCTGAAGAATGGGAGAAAGGCACGTCATGGAAGACTTCTGGGAAGAGGAGGCATTTGAGCTCGATTTTGAAGAAGGAAGAGGCTTCTAACCACGCAGGGAGGGAGGTGTCCCGGGAAAGGGGCGTACAGGAGGCGGCCAGAAGGAGAGTTCTCCCTTTTTTAAATATTTTTTTCTTCCTGTGCCTCCTAAGCATCAGACTCCTGTGCCATAGGGCCTTTGCACGTGCCGTACCCTCCACCGGGAATGCTCCCCTACTTTACCCCGAGCCTTCCTTCAGACCTTCACGCACCTTCACCAACCTCCCTGACTTGATCACATGCCCCAGCACCAAGGCCCTCGAGTTCCTGGGGCTGAGTGTTTGCCTCATGCCTTAGATCATCTTCCTGTCTGTCTCCCTGACCATGGCCACTCGGTGGTCACGGTGGGGCTGCTTTTCCTCGCCGTGGTTTTCCGGGCACCCAGACAGGGGCGCACCCCAGCAAGTGCTCGGGGGCCCTTGGCAGCAGGGCTCTGAGAAGCGTGGGGCAAGGTGGGGTGTGGAGGAGCATGGCCAGGCTGGAAGGCAAGACTGGGGACTTGATTTCCAGACAAATGCATTCAATGGTAGGCTTTAATCAGACCCCAAAATTCAGTATATAAATATCTAGCTCGTTGCCTTAAAAGGAAAAAGTGTTTCTTTGGGGCAAATGACTGGGCCTTGCTTGCAATCCCAGAGCTGTCCGAGCTGGGGTTGAAGTCAGAGCTGTCTCCTGACTCCGTGAAGCCGTCATACCGTCTCTGAACCATACTCCGCCGTTCCAGAGCACCGTTCTGCCCCGTATGCGCGAATCCTCTCAGGGACGCCCAAGCAAGGAGGCCGGGCTGTGTATCCCAGGCCTTCGGAGAGGTCAAGCAGACTCCCAGGCTCACGCAGCTGGGAAGGAGCAGACCCCGGAATTCAGCCTGGCTGTCCGGGGCCCCGGGCCCTCCACACGCACAGATAAGACCAGAAAGGAGGGGAGGCTGAGCCTCAGGGTGGGCGTCGGGGGAGACTCTCCGAGGAGGAGGAGGAGGCTGCGTGTGAGCTGAGAGCCGAATGAGAAAGCAGAGACAGCCGTGCAGACCTGGCTGCGTGCACCGTGCCAGTCACGTGGGGCTCGTCCTCAGGGCCGCATCCTGTCCTTGGCTGCCCTCCAGGGCGGCACGGGACACGATTCCCCCCCCCACCCGCCCCCAGCAAGCTGTGAGCAGCCGCACCTCTGCCCAGGTTCCAGAGCCGGTGGGAAGGGGCAGGGAGAGTCTGGGCTTTGGCGCCTCGCCAACCTGTCTGGCTTTGAATCAAGCCTGGCTGCCCACCAGCACGTAGCTGTGGACGAGTCACTTAGCCCGCGTCTTCCTCGTGGGTTTCATCACCCCGCCTTGCAGCACTGCTGCGAGGCTTTGAGCTCCCGTGCTCAAGGTGCCTCAGAGGCTGGCTGGGCACAGGCAGGCTCTCAAAAAGCAGAGATCATTCTACAGTCACTCGTGTCTTAATAATAGCTCACGTTTACCAAGGACTCACTCTGTGCCAGACGCCGTTCCAAGTCCTTAGTGATGAATCTTCACAACACTGTGAGGTAGGTCCTATTATTATCCTGTCGTTTAGGCAAGGGAAGCAAGGCGTGGAGAGTTCAGGGACTTGCCCGTGGTCGCCAGGCAGTCAGCGGCAGAGCCTAAATAATTATGTCGCTGCATATCCAGGGCTCAGCAATGGCCGGTGCAAGCCTCCTGCGGAGGTCAGGCGGGCTGCGTGGATGGGCCCGTCCCCACCACAGCCTGGTGGGGCAGGTGCAGCCTTCGGGGCTGCTGGCACTGAGCAAGTACGTTGACCAGTTAGGACACTCCCCTGTTGTCACGTGCCAGTGGGTCACATGGGAGAAGAGGCATCAGTTCCGGCCTTGGCAAACTTGGCCATCAACCAGCACGGCCCTTTCCAAGCTGTGTGGCCAGGCTCTACCGGGAGACCTCACTTCTCTGAGCCTCAGTGTCCTCGCCTTCAAAATGGGCACGTCTCTTTCATGCCAGCTTTGCCAGATGGTATCCAGATTAGTGAGGATGCCGTGAAGCACCTAGGACCCAGTGGGTGAACAGTTACATGACAGCTAGGCTTAAAACGACATCAGATGGTGTGTTCGTTTGTTGTTGCTGCCATACCAAAATCCTGCAAACTCGGCAACTTGGAATGACACACGGTTGTCACCTTAGAGTTCCGTGGGTCCGGAGTCCAGGCCAGACCTCATCGGGCTAAAAGCAAGGTGGAGGCAGGCCGTGCTCCCTTCTGAGGCCCCACGGGATGACCCCTTTCCTGGCTTATTCGGTGGTGGCAGAATTCAGTGCCACGTGGTGGGAGGAGCGGGGGCTCCGTTGCCTGGCTGACTGGCGGCTGCAAGCTGACCTCTCTGTGGGCCTTGCCCGTGGCCCCCTGCCTCTCAGCAAAGGGGCGTCGAGTGCTCCTCACACTCCAGCTCTCTGCTCTCTGACCCTTTGCTGGGAAAGTTTCCCCTCTTTTAAAGGCTCAAGTGATTAGATTGGGTCTACCTGGGTAATCCAGGATAATCTCCTGTCTCAAGAGCCATCACCTTAATCACATCTGCGAAGTCCCTTTTGCCATGTAAGGCAAACATGTCCACAGATCCCAGGAGTAGGACGTGGGCGTCTTCGGGGGGCCATTATTCTGCCTATCCCATCAGCACTGGCAGGGGCCTTGCAGCTCAGCCAGTGTAAACACCTCCTTTTATAGAGGGGAAAGCTGACGCCCAGAGAGGTTCCTAAGTGGTCGCTCGAGATCACACAGCGGCTCCTCGGCAGAGCCGGCCTCCAGCAGCCCGGCCAGGTAACTCCAGTCCACGTGGCTTTCTCGCTGAAAGGCTTTCAACTTTGCAAAGCCCCATCTGCCACCGTGTTCTCCTCTGATCCTCCCGCCCTCCCGGGGGGCGGGCACACCGTGGCTCTGTCTCTGGAACTGGCATGAGCATGGACTCACTTACCCCTCTCCCCGGGGGTGGTGGGGATCAGAGAGAACAGGGCCAAAAAAGCCCCTGGTGAGGCCCATGCCTGGGGAAAGGAAGAGAGAGGGAGAGGGCACGTCCCTCCCTGGGCCGAGCCCTCTGACGGCACTGTTCTCTTTGATCCTCCCAAGCGTTCTGCAGGGAAGGCAGTGCCGACCTAGAGTGTCAGTTAAGATTGAGTTTGGCTGCATGTAACAGGAAGAAAAGTAACAGGTAACCGCGGCCACAGTAATGCTGTTTAACGATCAACCATAAAACCGATGGTGGAAAAACAAGAAGCACTTACTTAGCTCAAGAGTCTCTGGGTGGGCTGGATGGGCCCTGGCGGGGAGCATTCACATGTTTACATTCTGTTAGGGCTTTATGGCATGTTCGGGGTTGACTGCTGTCAGATGGTTAGGAGTGGCCCTGGCTGGGGCAACTGGAACAACAACTCTGCTCCTTGTGTCTGGGCCTCCAGCAGGTCAGCCTGGGCATGTTCTTTCTTGGGCAATCACGGAGAACCAAGAGAGTGGGCAGATACATGCCAAGGGCTTTCATAAGCCTCTGCTTATAGCATATTTGCTTATATCCCATTGGCCAAAGCAAGTCACATGGCCAAGCCCAGAGTCAGAGGCAGTAGGGACTATACGAGTTACAGCGCAAAGGGTGTAGACATAGGGAGGTGATTACCACAAGGAGTCCATCTTTGTGGCTTAGACAAAAGGGAAGTTTGGTTTTCTTATGTAAAGAACGTCACAAGATAGGAGTTAGGACAGCTCCATGGAGTCACCAGGGATCCACACTTCTCGGCACACAGCTCTTTTTATCTTTGTGGGCCAAAATGGCTGCAAGAGCTCCAGCTATCACTTCCACATCCCAGGCAGCAGGATGGAAGAAGGAGTATGAGAAGGGTCAGACTCCCCCCTTGGAAGGAGACTTCTAGAAGTCACACACTTCTGCTTATATCATAGGCAAGCACTTCTAGCTTGTAATACAGCCACTTCTAGCTGCCAGAGTTTGGGGGGAAATGTAGTCTTTTATTTGGGCACAAGGTGCCTAGCCAGAGTTTGGTTAGCTTGAGAAAGAAAGAAAGGATATTTGGCAGGCGGTGAGTAGGTGTCTGCCACACCCCATTCCATAGCTGAGGAACTTGGGCTCAGGGACAGAAGTAACTTGCCTGAGGTCGCACGGTCACCTGTCCTTAAGAGAACTGGGATCCGAGCCCCGAACGCTGCGTCCTCTCTCCTGTGCCACCATCACCACCCCCTTTCACGAGCCTCCGCTGAGCATTCAGCTCCTCACACGGCTGTTTGAGAGTCTGGCGGCCCAGACAGCTACACGTGGCTGACGTCCCCTGACCCCTCACTGTGGGCCCAGTCCTTTACACTCAGGTCTTCATTTAAGCTCCCAGCGTCCCTGCCATTGTCCTCATTCTGCAGAGAAACCGGGGCACGAAGGGGTGAGGTAGGTTGTCTGGGCTACCTGATTTGAGGCCCAGGCTCTTGCCGTCTTGCCAATCCAGGTGCTGGGTGGGAAGGACTGGGCTCCTGCGGCAGCCACAGGTGGGGCCGAGGCCATTCAGCCTCCCGCTGGGCAATGAGATGTGCCCACAGCACCCAGTCCAGGGCCCAGCCTCCATCTGCTCGAATCCCGCCTGCAGGTAGGGCCTGGCAATCACGGGGAGGGAAGAAGTAGCCTGGTCCCCACCTGACCCGACCCCAGCCCTGCCGCCTGTGAGCTGAGGCACTCCAGGCAAGAGACTTGACCTGACTCTCACTGGCCTCCTCTGTAGAGGGAGGGGATGAGCCCCTCCTCCACCTGCTCTGGTGGCAGCCGGTGAATCTATGCCGAGTGAAGGGGAGAAAGGATGAGCAGAGGAAGAGCCAACCGCCGCCCTAGACGGGCGCTTTTCTCAGGTTCAAGGAAAAAATATAACATCTCCTGGGCCCTTTTGTTGTTGTTGTTGTTGTTTGTTTGTTTGTTTTCTGTCCCAAAATGCATCCCACAGATCATAGGCTCCAAATGACATGAATAACTGTGATGTGAGAAAAGGGCTGGGAAGCCATATGACATTTACACTGCCAGGTTAGACGGGGCGCCCCCTGCAGGCCTTCCGGAACCCGTGCAGCGGAGTGCACGCGCTGCACGTCTCACAAGCTGAGCTCCAGCGCTCCGTGCGTCTCCAACCTTCCGGGCCACAGAACACCTTTTCTTCGTAGAAAAGCGCCACCCTAGCGCCCATCCTCAGCTTTTCCTTTTCCCCACCCCACACACCTTGCCAGGATCGTTGGTCCAATCCAGAAAGAAACCCAGACTCATATTTGGAAGAGTTTTATCTGTACGAATTCCGTTGTAAGAATTACGATCGGGTCACCCAGAACTGCAGCCGGGTCACTGGAGTTAACAGCATTGCTACAGGTCTAAGGGACAGACACTGCAAACTGCTGTCCTCTACCAGCCAGGAGCTCTCGGAGTCCCGTCTCGGGCCACGAGTTCCTGCCGCAGACCCCGGCAGCAGGTCAGGTCACAGGTAGACACAAGGGTCTGAGGGAGAGCGAACTGTTAGCGACTATCATACCTGCCACGCCGTCTTGCCCTGACCGCTACCCGAAGCCATTGCTCCAGGGTCTGGCCCCAAGGAGAGTGGACTCAGCCAGGTTCCTCAAGGGGCTAGAAGTGGTGAGAGCCTGCTTTTCCTCCCTTCCTTCCTTCCTTCCTTCCTTCAGCAAAGACCAACCAGGTACCTACTCTGAGCCACACACTGTTCCAGGCACTAGGAAGACAGGATTGAATAAAAGAGACCGGGCCCCTGCTCTCAGAAATGTTAACACTATAAAGAAAAGAGAGAGGGTGTGAGATGGTGAGCGACTGGGGAAGTCAGGTGGAGGGGAAGCCAGGGAGGGCCTCTCAGAGGAGGCAGCAGTTTAGCTGAGACCGGAATGAAGAGGAGGAGCTGGCCGTGGAAGACTTGGGGGAACAGGATACCAAGCAGTAACACCGTGAGGCCAAGACCCTGGGAAAGGAATGACCTTGGTACGATTGGGAAGAGAAGGGCAGCCAGTGTGGACAGCACTGGGGAGCGAGGGGGTGAGCGGCAGGAGGTGACAGGTGCCAGGCCAGGTGGGCCTTGAGGGCCGTGAGGAGCATCCGTGTTTTATCTGGGGGCGGCGGAAAGCCGCTGC